TGCTGCTCCTTGCCAGGCAATGGCCATTCAATGTGCTCACCTTTGGGTGCTGGGAAGGGATCGCTCGCTGCAGGAGCACCGCTTGTGGAGAGGGTTGGTGAAACCCTTGCGCTACGTAATCCAGTAATTTGTGTTGCCTTGGGTAAGGAGGCACCTGAGCAATCCCCATGCTGGTGGTTCTGCTCATTCACTGTTCACACTGCAGAGGCACAACACCCTCAACCCAACCTGCAGACCACTTTGAGCAGTATAAACGCAAAACGGTTTAGTCAGTTTAAAAAGAAAAAAAAATCACATGAACATTATGTTTATTTCTCCAGCAGAATCTTTTTCTTTCACAGTCTTTCAGTTGCTGCTTTTCTGAAGAGTGCAGTCTTTATTTCAGACATCTGCCTATAGAAAATAAGTCTTTTTTTTAAAGGGCACATTGAAAGATGAAAACTGAGGCTCAATAACTTAATCAGCATACAAATTACACAGATATAAAAGTTCTCTTTCATTGTCTTAACTTACAGTTTATTTTGTACAGAATTCATTATGTTATACATCTAAGACTTATTATATTGTATAAATACCTTGGGTGTGATGTATATACATATTCAGTGTTATAGATTCAGCAATTAATGTATGCATTTCACAATACACAATAGTGTATTTCAATGTAGTGCACATGATTTATATTTCAGAAAAGAGCATATCCGCTATGAAAAAATTGGTATTTCATTCATAGGGTACTCTACCTTGAAATACAGGGCTTTTTCCATTCTAGAATGGACTGTTCGTACTGCGTCGTATGGCTGTAAGATTTTCTTGTACATTCCCCATGAATTAAGAAACAGCAGCTCAAAAACGTTAATCTGATGGATGGAGGAGAGCAGGGCACTGGTTTCCTAAGTTCTTACTTCACTGGGAAAGGTGGCGTGGCCAAGCCACGTGGAGCTGGGCTGTGTGCGATGGCCACACGGAGCAAAAGGCTCTGCACTGATGAGCTCTGGCTTCTCCCCTCTCCGTCTGCCAGAGCTCAGCTGCCATAAATCACCCAGCTCCGGCTACAGGAGCTGAGTGGCCAGCATCAGCTTCATTTCTAAAGGTCCCAAGCTCCCCATGTTCTGTTAATCCACTCTTTGCTTGCAGAATTGTTCCCGGGTGTCTCCTGGTATATGTACTGATACTGCACACTGCCTTTGCTTGATAGCAGGCAAAGAAACTCGCTCACAGGGTCTTCTCTGTACATGCCATAACATGTGCTGTTTGTTCAGTGTTAAATTGCAGGTGTTGCTTTTCCTGGGCACCTACTAAAGCATAATTCTAATTAATCTGTCAGTACGGTTTCTGTTTTCTTTTTTAGACATCCTAGTTTCCTGCATACGTACGTACGTGTTGTGCCTCTTGATCATCTGGCTACCTTTGCTTTGTAATCTCACAAGCAGAGATTCTTTCAGCAGTGTATAAATGCTGTCCATGTAACAGCAAAGCGGAATACTGTATATTCCGTGAATAAAAGACTTTCTTTTAAGAGTAATTGAAAAAAAAAATAGGTCAATCAAAAAATTATAGGGTTTGTAAATATTTTAAAATTACACTTACTTACATTTAAAGTATGTCATCGTTTTGAAACTAAAACTTGAGATATTTGTTTCATTTAAAAAGGACTGATCAACTCAGAACTGTATTTTGCATCAAATCTATTACTATAAACGCTTTGCCTTTTGATTTTATGAAAAGTAGCATAAGTGCTTAAGCCAGCATAAATCCAGAACAACTCCACTTTATTGGTGCTATCCCAGTTTTACTGAGAATAGGAATCTCTCTTCCCACTTCTTTTGTTTTTCCTATTGCCATTTTTCTGTGTAAGAACATTCACACAACAACATGTGATGTAAAACAAAAAGAAAGGTTAGATGTTATATGCATCTGCAGTTGAACGCTTCTGTCACCCCCTTGCCAGATTTAGGGAAGAGTCTTTTTGTGGACAGCTGTATCCTATCCTGTTGTTCAGCTGAGCACCAGCAGGGGCTGTACTCCTACCCAACGGGCTGTATTTGCGATTTAACTTTGGGAAGATGTGTGATTTACCTTTGGGATGCCTGTGACTGCCAAAGTCATGGCTCTGAACAACCCCCTAAGCACTTCACTGAAGAACTCATGACCGCGCTGACAGATGCTGTGCCGAGCTAGGACCCTACCACCCTAGAGCACAGGCCCTAGTTACACACCAGTTTGTACTCCAGAGTGTATTTTAGATACGTGCTCACTCAGACACCAGAATGGAAGTATTTCTGGTCCAACACTAACAGTCCTGGAGTCCTCACTTATAACTTTCTTTAGCTGAAAGCACAGGGGTTTGCAAGCCATGTGGCAAGTAAACACAGCAGGTAGGGCTGTCCCTCCTCCAATTTCTGGTTCAACACTAACAGTCCTGGAGTCCTCACGTATAACTGTCTTTAGCAGCAATAGCTGAAAGCACAGGGGTTTGCAAGCCATGTGGCAAGTAAACGCTGCAGGTAGGGCTGTCCCTCCTCCACACTCGAGCATGCAGCCTGAACATAGAGCTCCTGGTAGGTACAGTGGACACCTCAGGTCCAAGTTGAGGGACACACCAGTATGGCAGTAGAGAAGCACCCTCACTTAGCAATGCTCAGTCTTTCAAATCACAGCCTTGAAGGGACATTTCCTGAACACGTAAGTAAAGCTGCTGGCTCTGGTACCTGTTGGTGAGTGAGAGGAGCAGCTCACTCCAGTGTCAGTCCCTGGGCACTCAGTGTGCTCGTGTGGCACTGCCTGGGGGTGGAGGTCACCATCTGCTGGTGGACTGAGCAGAGCCAGGGCCACAGCGATGAGGCCTGGAGCCCAGTCCACTGCTGCGAGCTCATAGCTGCACTGGTAAACTGGTGGATACACACTCGTGAATACAGCTGTGCTGTTTGTCCTCTGCAACTGCCACCAGCGAGCTGTTTCCTCTGATTTCAAGACTAAGTTTATTTGGGGTTGGTTTATACTAATTTACTCTTGTGCAAACAATACTCTTGCTTTATGTATGGCTGGGCCAAATACAAAACAACACGTTGGGTAGAGAAGTTAAATTCTAAGCAGCAATTTTTCTGTTGTTAGTAATAAGGATCATAGGAATTCATCTTTCCTTACGAGGTCTAGATCTTTTAAAGAGGAGAGAAAGTTTGTGAAACGACCCAAGATTTTATCTGACACACAAGTGTTGCATCCCTTATAAAACAGGAGCGTCTCTGTGATTATTTTACCTACTTAAAATTAGATTATAGCAGATGCCATCCTCTCACTACACAGTTTAGTGCCGGCAAACATAAGTCTCACTTATATAAGCCTGGTGTCCTCACTTTCTCGTCTCACCATTAATATTCTCCTATTTTATAGCAGGTACATTAAACACGCTCCCAGTTGAGGGTTAGGACCCAAATACAGAATTTCCCATAGTTAAGGTTTTCTGGTCTGTTCTAATATCAGAACTGAATTATAAAATTCAAATCCTATCTTAATCTACCTAAAAGATGGGAAGTATGCGGTATGTAAGGCAGTTGTAATTTGGATCTTGTGTTTATTGCCCAGGATCCATCACAAGAACGTGTGCTTTATTGGTTTTGTTAAGTATTATAGATTCAGGGTTGTTTTTTCTAACTGTAACTTATCTCAGTGATCCTTCAGTAAAAAAAAATACACGTAATGCATATGAAATGGCAGGTTTGAATCTCCAGTATGTTTTCCTTGTTAAAATTGGAAATAGTCGCTTTATAATGTGCCCAGTGTGTCTTGTCTTTTCTTCTTCCTTTTCCAATGCAACACGGTGTAAAGTTTTCCTCTGTTTCGCCTTATGGTCAGAGGTGTTTTAGACAAGGTCTGGGGCATCAACTGCTGAGCATGGACTTCCTTGTCCTGCTAAACTCTTCCTTCAATGCATTAATTAATACAAACAGTGACTCCAAGCCTTTGCTTATTTGCTAGGAAATTTCCTTCCTGTCCCATGCATTCCAATACCACACTTGACTTGCTCACCCTGATAATCATGTGTGTTGTCAACCAAGCTGCTGTTTCAGCAAAGCCTTTTCCTTTGAAGTATGTGCTGGTTTGTTGCAGGTTACTTTTTCATGTTAGCAATGACAAAAGTAAACCCAGGGCTACTCCTTGATTTTTATTTTCCAGGGTTTATTATTGTATTTACAGTTCCCTGTAAGAAGATACAACCCTTTCCCAGTAAGAGTTCTAATACCTTTCTAGGTTTCAAATACTAACGACCCATATACCCATACGGAAAGGAGAAAGATAATCAGTGATGAAGGAGGTATCTCTAGGGGCTGATGCAGATGAATAGAAAACTTAAATCATTATAAATACTACTGCACTACACTTTGGTACAACCGAAAAAAAACCCTTTCAAAGAAAATACTTCATGTTCCCTAAGTCAAATAAAATTCATAAACAACAGGAAAAGAAATTAACCACATGAGGGTTTTTATATATGTAAAAAATAATAAGACTACTTGGCTGCATTGCACATAGGCAATAAAATCAGATTCATTCAGATCCCTTTTAATGTAAGCCTCATTTCGGGCTGTAAGCAAGAAATGTCCACTGTGCTTTACAAAGGACGACGACTAGAAAAATCAATGCAAACAAATATCCCTTTCTTTTCTGATTTACCATTTATCATGAGAGATGACAAACAAATGACGTCTCCTCTGAGTCTGAGCGTAGTTGTATTAGCATTTTGCTAGTACCAGGCAGTATACAAAAACAGCCATCCTCTGTGAGACCTCCAACACCTACAGGTAGCTGTTTTAGGGGCACATCCTGGTTTGTGGTGAAACAGGTTTGACTCAGCCAGCCTCTTGTACCTGCTCAGTGACACCAGGTTATCATCTCAGTACCTCCAGGGTTGGGCTGTCGTGTTCCTATTGCTGACTGGACTGACTGCTCCACCATCCGTAAACAGAAGGCATAAAGGTGATTACAAACATAAGAAAGCAGTTTCACATATTGTCTTGCAGTCTTTCCATATAGTCCCTAAGTTCCTTGGAGTCACCAAGATTCATATCTTGGCATACCCATTTAATATTATCATCACTGTCAAATAGAATTGAATTGGTGTAGGGGCCTCCATCCTCCGGCAGTATCGTTGTATATGAAGTGAACTTTACTCGCTTCTGCTTTGGCCCAGAAGGATTTATAGGTTCACTTTTAACTTCTTTTTCACAAAGATACTCAGAAGATCTGAGGATATGATTATGAAGAGTCTTCTGAGAGCTCCCGTTAAGGAGAAAGTTGCTTTCTTCGAACTGCATTCCTCTGTCGATCATGGTAGTGCACTCCTCTGACGGGAGCGAAATGTCCACTGTGTTTTCCAGCAGTTCCACTTCATTGCCAAGCCAGACCCAATCATGGGAATGGGGGATGTTGCCTTGCTCGCTCACAGCAAACCTTTTATGCCTGTACTTCCAAGCAAATGCCACACAGTTAATCAAAAAGACCAAGATTGCTAAGCAGAAAACACACAGCAGGGCATACATGCCGATCTCCAGGTCTGTCAATCCTCTTGAAGTCAATGTGAGATCGCTGGGGCTGTTTTCTCCCGGTATTTCTACTTGCGCAGGGAAACCTGTGAAGGCAGTTGGGTTATTTTGGATCTGGCCATCCTCCAGGGACTCCTGATCAATGGGAGATATGAAAGTTGTGCTTTTGTTTGCATTGTCCTCGTGACTGGACGTGTCCTCGTGGTTTTTGGACCATTCTTGTGCTGTCCTCTCTTGTTCTGCAGGTTTCTCTATAGAATTGCTTGCATGGCTTTTAAAATCTGTATCTATCTCATCTATGTCATTACTGCTTCCTTTCTGGTCAGAATCTTTTTGACCAAACTTCACCTTGACGCTTCCCTTCCCAACAGCCAGAATGCTCTTCCGCTTTGTCTTCTGGCATGGCTCACTGATGACCATTTCAATTTTAATCAAAGGTCCTTGCCCGTCCCCTTCCGCCACTACCACAGGCCACTTGGACTGAAGGTTCTGGTGTGCAGACACCACCATCTCATCCAGTGAGGTGATGGTGATCGAGAAGTCCTTGGAGTCATAGATATCTAACGGCGTCACTGACCCATCACTGAACAAAAGCCACGCACTGACTACGGCTTCCTGGGGAGAGAGGGTGAGAAGAAAAAGGTGTGAAAGGTAGAAGAGCACATATCAGACACTCGGGTGTCAAAGTCTCTCAGATACTGGCAAAATACAGTTTAAATTTGGTCTATTTTGGTTTTTAAAAGAAAATCGAAATGCCTACTCATTTTTTTCTTGCAGATTTGTGTTCTCCAGACCACTCAGGCATTTAGCTCATCCTCAGGCACTATCAAAGACACAACCATCTGAATTTAACTAAAGGTGCTGACCAAAAAAAATGGACAGGTTTTTATCAGCCTGAAGTGAGATGCCTCTTTTGAATGCCAGGGCCCCATGATAAAAATGATCCCATTTCCAAAGTCCTGGGTAATTAGTCTTATGAAGGACCTATAATGGGGAATTTCTCAAGTTCTGCAGTTCTCATGCCATATTTAATACAATGTGCAGACTCATGTGTCAGAAAGGTGATCCCATTCAGCCCATCGAAACAAACTGGGCTAAGAACACAACTCAAAGCAATAGTTTAAATTTTCTGTCATGCTTTCAAATACACAAGATTATGTGCAGTATACGTGTAGTCCTTTTTGGGAACTATAGAAACACAAAACTGCCATTTATTAAGGATGTTTTGACTAAAACAATTTGTCTTGTTACTGCAAATTGGTAATGCTAGAAAGCTACCCTTTCTCTAGTGATATAGAGTCTCAATTCTATAACAAATACAATTAAAAAAGATATGTGTAATTTATTCTGTGGTCTCTTCAAAAGCTAATGAATCCCTCAGCCGATGCAGTTCAAAGGAAGCACAAACTCATCAGATTTCAGCAATGCAGATCATGAAGACTTCTGTACACGCAGCCAAACTGACTTTGTGAGACTATGGCAGCACAGGATTTCCACTGCTGTTACACAGCTAAGTCTCATTTTCCCATAGAAGAAGTGTCTTGAGTGGCACGTACGTGTTTTCCACAGCAATATGCATGCACAGACATGGCAGTCGCTTTCCCCAGCTGCCGACAAAGCACAGTAAACACAAATTACTTCTACATACCATTTTGGATCATACCTGTTTTGGGGTGTGAAGGATATCATACGCAGAGGTGGTAGAAACGATAGCTCTCTTACTTCCTTTGCTGATTTGTAAGGAGAGGGACAAGCCTGACACCAGTTGTACTCCGAGATCTGTGATGGTCACTCGGTCATCCAGAACTATCACTGTCTTCTCTGCCAAGATGGAATCGGAAAGAGGTGACAGAACCTGCAAAGAGAAAGCAAACTCCTTGCAACTGTGTTGTAAAGCAAGATTAGACTCTAATTGGCGGAGCACTTTGGATTAATCTCTGGTTCGTCACATCCGTGCATAAACTATAATCGATATTTCCCCCAAGACATCACATTCATTTGCTGCTAAATGACTTTATTTACAAAAGTAATTCAATAAAACAACCAATCACTTCAAAATTGAAGCCTCATCTCAACAATGGAATATAGATTAAATTAAATTGATTTGTTGGGTTTGTTTTTTTTAAAGTCATTTTTGTGTGGTCTATAAAACCTCCTATGAATGCAGTATAGCACAAGACCTAGTGTAAGACACTGATTAACACCGAAACTCAATAAGGGAACCAATCAGTACACAAAGCTTGGCTGATAGGAACTTGACCTGATGCTTTTATAGGGACAGAAGACCTGAATGAAATAAAAGTGAGATTTGCAAAGAGATTTTGAAAATGCCACTGAGTGCTTGTCTGCATTTTCCGATGCCAAAACAGTCCTGTCAGTTTGCTCGAAGGCTTTGTTTCTGACGAGCTCAGGAGGAGACAGTCGTCTTTCTACTGATGCCAGCAACAGCTGGTTCAGACCCAAAATACTTGAGGTGTGATTTATCAAATCCAACATGAGACATCATCAGTGGCGCCACCTGCACCGGCGCTGGCTGCCTCTGCTCTGTCATAGGAGCGAGAGGGACATCTGCCCTCTGTGTGACGTTTGGTTTGGGCTGAGAGGAGCCGAGCCTTAAAAGTACCTGGTTTTTGTGTTGACTACAAAGGAAAGTTAAGTGTGACTGGAACATTATGGGTGTTTGCACTTAATGAGAAGAGACCCACTGCTTGTGTTCCTTTCTTTTGATTAAGAAATATGCATTAAGTTAGATAAAAAGAAGGCTGGTGAGCATGAACACTGAAAGATTTCTGAAGATTATTTTTGTGTCCATTTTTTGCGTTTCATTTTGTGAACATAAAGGGACTAAATTTTCAAAGACCTTTAAGATATAAAGATACATGTAGGTCTTTGGTACAATTTCCTAACAGGTTCATAAGGTCCCAATTAAATTAAAATAAGCTAGTTGTGTGCATCATCTGGTTCACTGTTCAGAAAATCTATGTTACTAGTCATATTACCACGGATAAATCCCTTCAGAAGTTTCACCTGAGAGTATTTTATGGAAGTGGCAAATAGTAAAAATGAAAACCCATTCGAACTTTGTGTTTAGCTTGTCGTTTATCTGAGAGCTATAATTTTATAACTAACTAGCTATCATGTGTGTGCATCCAGAAGTCTCTAGGGAAGCTGCAGCAGCATCTTAGGCTGTACCTGCACCGTGGTGATGCCGTGCTCACGACCAACCAGAACTCGGCCGTCTTGAAGCTTGGCAATCCTGGGCTCTTCCACCTTCATGAAGTCAGTCACGAGGTCAGTGATGTCAAACTGCCACTCGGAGCCCAGCATGTAGGTCAAGTGGCCTCCCAGCTCGGAGGATTCAGCTACGAACTGCGTGAGGACTCGCACCATGGCGTGTTGGTACTGCAGGGTACAGCCTTTGCCTTTTTTCTCGTCATCCTCTTCATCCTCGCTGTCACGGGTAGGCCTGTAAATAGATCCACGCTTGTTATCTGCATTGCCGTGACCTCTGCAACACTGCAGAGCTTCAGGGGGGCAGTATTTTCAATTGGATTAATGTTATCGTCGTCTGCTACCGTGTGAGAAGTAGGAAACCAGATTTTGGATGTGTATGTCACTACATCTAGGTGAGATGCTTGAACAGCTTTTTTGTGCTGTACAATTTAAAAGCTGCTGTCACTTCTGTTAGTGAATTCTTTGTTGGAGTGGGACCTCCCAGCCACCTGAAAATATGTCTGCCATTGCTGAGATTTCAGTGGAACCACCACTTCTGCCCCGTGTCTCCAAGTGGCCGTCAAATCTGGCCGAGGGCTAAGGAAAGCAGCATGAAATGTTTATGAGAGGGCAGTTCTGCAACAACCTCCTGTAGCAACCCAGCAGGGATGGGAGAAGATTTTTTAGCATCCTTTCCTCCACCTTTGCCCACAACATTTGTATCACTTTGCTTATCTCTTCAAAACTATTGTAACACATTTGGGATTCCCTGCTTAAGTAATGCTGCCCTGCCTCATCCCACATTTCCATCTCGTGGGTTCATTTAGACCTTTGCATTGAGAAATATGCCATGATTTCACCTCATATACAGTTCATACAAGTGTCTGGTATATCTGGTCATGCAATGGCCACATGAGGCTTCCAAAAAACCAAGTTAGGGATTTAAACTGGACACCAGTTACTCGGATTGCACCATGCCAGACTGGTGAGACTACTACTTACCCCACAGAAACAACTGGAGCATTAGACACACTTTCTTGAACGTTTTCTAACTATCTCTCGCCCTTGTGAAATACAACCCGTGACAAAAGAACAGCTTTCCATAAGCCTCATGTATGGCATCGCAGTGATTTGGACGTGACAGCAGTGCTATCACACCTCACAGAATTTTGTCTGGTTTCCCATAAATTCTCTTTTCTTTGCTATTGTTTATTCCTTAGGATCTACAGATTCTCTTCTCACTTTCCAGTCAGGTATTAAGCGCTAGGTGGTCTCACTTTTACTCATTATGCCCCCATGCTGTGGAATTCATTGCTCAGACATAATTTGCCTTCTCCTTTACTTATTTATCGAGCCTGAAGCCACCTCCATAGCAAGGGTGGGAAATACAGGGTAAGCCTCTTATTTTTCACAGTATTTTGGGAAGTCATTTTGTGTTTACTGTGTTCCTTTATCTTCTCCTTTGAAATACCAGCTATGAAAAACTATTATAAAACAGAATTGCTTTTGTTATAAATTGTTTTATGACAAAGTTGGCAAGCAGTAAGCTGAAAATGTATCTAAGAAAAGCCCTTGTGCTCTTCAAAATGATTGAAAGTCCTGGTGTTACAGAATCTAATACACTGGAAATACATTTTCAATGCATCACTTGTTAGCTGAATATATATATATATATATATATATTCGGCCTCAAGTAAATGGTATTTTGTACAGCCTTTTTGGTTTTGTGCATGTAAAACAACAGTGTCCATCATTAGTCGCTGAATGAAACATCATTGAATAACCACTGAATTGTTAAGAAAAAAACAGGATCCTAAAATATGATTTACATTACGTACAGAAACAAGTCTCTCAGAATTAAACTAGCTGGGTATTTCAGGGAAACTTTGGGCTGTTCTTTCCTTCCCCACACCAGTGCCAGTCTGGACCGTGAAGGCAGCAAAACAGCCACAAGGAAGGGACTAGGAGGGGGAGATTCACAGAGCTTAGGTGGCCCATGCCTATTTATTTAGATTGCTTTGGGCTTTATAATGCTATACAAGAGTTTATGAACTAACGTTCCCACTTCCAATTGATTCCTGTTTTAGCCTCTTCAGCTCATCTAAACCGTAACACAGCTCTGAATAATCTCAGACTTTGGGAAAACCACGTTTAGCGCTGAGATTTGGAGACTTGACCTTTTTTAGTAATCCAGACAGTAACATCAGTGCCTGTGCAGAAGACATCCAGGTAAGAAATACTTACAGGATTCTGGGGAAAAGAGACACAGAACCAACTCTCTGTGGCTTGAAGAAGAATGTTCACATATTCAACATTCATGCTGACTTTATTTTACAGAACTAAATGTTTCTGTTACACAACCAGATGTTTTACGCAGATCCAATGTGTTACCGTTATTCATATCACTTCTGTGCTTATTTATTTCTACTTTTCCTGTTTAAAGCTTTAAACTCCTGGACTGTTCAAGAGGAAAGACACTCAAATCAACTTGGAGAGAAAGAACTTTTCAACCCTAGTCCCACACAGCTCATAAATGTGAGTTGTGGGAAGAATGAGCAGCAACAAGGCTGATGTACCTGAGGCACAGAGGGAGCACTCCTGCCCTTGTAACCAGGACTGCATGGGCAGCCAGCGCTACAACCACAAAATGATGATTCCAGTCCACCTCTTTCCTTGTGGTATCTCCAATAACCAAAGGTAAGGACTCGGTTACCTTACAGAAGCATTCACAGGTGTTTGTTTGTATACTTCTCCCTAGCAATCCATGGTTTCTATTGCATGCAAATGTGGAACGTGAGAACAGCATCCCTACACCATGGCACGGGCAAGGCACTTTCATACATCAGTGCAAAGTGAAAAGAGAGGTGTTTGAATTTTCAATGCGAGCTTTGCAAGTCTGCTTTACCAAGTACCGGCTCAAGTTCTTGCTTTTTTTTAAAACAGGTTATACCCATTTCCATTTAATAGCCACAAATCCAGGATTCAGTCAGTAAGTCAGAGCATTTTAGTGTTTTGTCTCCATGGGCCCAACAAAATGTTTGAGATCCACTGAATTGCATAGTTCCCTGTAGAGTCTTCAACTTCTTGTCCCAGTGTTTTCAGTAGGCTTAAAATCCTTCATTAAGCAGTGAGCTCATTTTCTTTTTAAGACATGTCTTCATCAATATAAGCTATTGCTGCACATTGTGCTTTTTCTCCCCGTGGTCACCTCTGAGGTTAGCTCTGGATATCTCTCAGAATCCTTCATATCCTATTTCTTGCTGCTTGGCAAACTCTCTGGGAAGATTTTTTGCTTTTCTGGAGTGCACCAAAGTTGCCAGAATTACATTTAATTTACATTTCACACAGAGAAAGCCTTTGCCAGAGAGCTGAATTAAAACAGCAGCCCTGTTACAAGGGTGCCTGCTAGCACTGAGCTCATCAGTGATCTGTCAACTTTCTATTATAGACGCTGTCTGTGAGCAGTTTAAGTATGTCTCTTTTAATTTCCTCCATTTTCAAACCAGGCATCAAATTCTTGGGCCAGATGCTAATTTTCTGTTAAAAAACCCCCAAAGAAATCAGTTTTGCTGGTTTTGAATTTGAAATACTCATTTAAAGTGAGTCATGTCTTTTACAAACATTTGCAACACCTCTAATTGAAAGAAAAAAATCCACGTTGGATACAAAATACAAGCCTCTAGAAGCTGATTTAGTGGAAGCTACAGAAATAAGTTGCACATAGTCCAAAAAGAAATGCAATTTGGTACCTTTACAGATCTTGAAAATACAGTCTACCTGTTAACAAAAATCTCTATGGCCTTATCTCCATAGGACATTAAAGTCAATTAACTGAAGGAGTGAATTGACGGCGTGTCCAAGCTTTGTGCGGATGTTGCTATTCACAAATGGAATGGTTTAAATCCAGTTGCACTTAATTTGCCTTAAAGGATGGCTTTACTTCTGAGTGGCAGCTCTCACACAGACAATTAACTAAAGCAGCTTCTTTTTCCTTCATATAACTTGGGCTAACTTTCCTGCTTTTTTCTCTAGCACCAGACAGGACCGAGGGAGAGCTACCACCTCATTAACCATTGGCAAACAGACTGCCACTCATAAGCAACACCCTGTCTGCCTTAACTCTGTTTCACAGGTTTTGAAGATTTATGCTACTCGGAGGTTTGCAGTCACCATGACTTAGCAATGGCTTTGTCAGCTTTGTTCAGTAAGGCCAGACACCGGTCCAGTAAATGGTGAGCCTGACACTGATGCTGTGTGATGTCTGCCTCCCTGGCAGCCTCATGAAAACAGTGTGCTTATCCCAGTTACAAATATTGACTGAAATTAAATTTCCAGCTTGTTCTGTGAGACTTCAGCCATGCAGTTCCTATTAATGTAAGTAGAAGCCACACATCCCATGTAAATGTGTATGTGTATGTATGTGCATAGAGCTAGTGCAAGAACTTCAAGAAGGTAATTATTTTGCAGATTCATAAAGAATCAAAATAAATGTTCTTGTTAGAGTAGCAGAGTCTGCCTGGGCCTCTTCTACACTCTAATATTTGACTTTAATTTCAATATATACCTTTCATTTGCTGAGACCGTGGGCTTTTCTGCAGCCCATTGCAGGAGCAGTTCCTGTTAGCCCGAGCTGGCGTGAGGAGCGCGTACCGTGCGTTACTCATGAGTTCATCCATGGAGCGACTCTCATCTGGAAAGGGAGGCTCTTCATTTCTACAGTAGCACCCACCACAGATCAAGTTCCCCTCTGGATAATAATAAAGGTTTGCCATGGATTTACAGACTACGTAAAGTATATTACTGCTCTTGCACTATGGGTTTTTTCCCAGCTTCTGGCATAAATGCAGCCCGTTTTTTCTTTCTGATCCTGGAACAAGTTCCTGCTCTTACAGCAGTTCAGACCAAGTACAAACCAAGTTCAAACTGAGCTTGCCATGTGGTGGTTGTGAAATTTTCATAGAGAGCCTGCCTTTTTCATTGCTTTGTGGAAATCATTCAAGAAGGTAGGTAAGCAAACATGTCTGTAATCACATGTATTTTACAGTTATAAACATGACAGGGTTTACAGGGAGAAGCAATACATTTTATTAGATCAACAAACACTGGAAAGAACAGATGTGATTTGGGGCATATAAACAGTTTTTCAGGTCTGAAATAGAAGCAGCTACATTCAGATGAAGAACAGCCGTGCTGAGGCAGTAGTTTCACCAGCGTTTCTTTTGTCAACAGCACCAATAAAAACATGTAAAAGATTATTGTAAACCCAGTTACATTTTGCCATCTGGCTCAGCCCCCTCAGACAACTGAACCTGCACAGCCATGCTGAGCATGCACAACGAGCCCGTGGGGGAGCCAGAGGAGATAAGGAATGTTTGGAAGTGTCTCTGCACGATCCCTGTAAGAAATGCTCAACAATTTTACCTTCTGTATATTGATGAATTACTTTATACAGGGTTTAGTACCTGCTGAGCCAACAAGGGAGTGGTGTGAAGATACCAAGCCTAGTGGGCAGGAGAAAAATGGGTTTAATCTGTGTTGAGGTGAGGAACGAAGACGACCCATTACGATGCTTCCATGACTAAACCTGAGGACAGTGACCTGGCGGCCATGTGTGACTGAACCTAAATTTGAGACTGCCAAAGCCTGTTGGCAGGGACTTCCAAAAGAATCCACGAGTTAGATACCCTCTTCTTTTCAAATTAGTTTCCTTTAAGGACAGATACATATAAAAACCCTTGTGCAAACTGCAAATACTGGCTCTTACATGAAAATGAAGCTGAAGCAATGCAGTGCCATGGCTACCACACCTGCTGGGAAATGCTTGGATCTTCTTTTTTCCTCCTAAAAGATTAAAGCACTCTCCTCTCTCTCTTTCAAGCCAATTCTCAGGTATCACACCAGACAGCCTGCTCACCGTACAGCACTAACACTGTGTTATACACCCCGGGAGGGCACTGTGAAGAATTACAGGCTGAACTGTCGTTCAGAATAAGCAAATGTGGCCTCCCGGCTACATCACTGAATGAGAATTCAGAAACCAACCTGCAGCTCCTGACTCTGGTCCAAATGTCTTGTGTGCTTCAGGTCACCATCTAAAAACTCAGCGTAAAAACTCGCCCATGTTTAAGATGTTGGGAAACATGTAGCTATGAAGGAGATGGAGGCATAAGCAGACTGAAAATTCAAAGAGAAAACTAAAAAAAACCATAAGAAAAGCTACTAAAGCACAGGTAAAACCCATCCAAATCTAAAACCAAAGGAAATGTAAAAACCCTATGTACAAAGTAAATGTCAGAGTGAGCACAACTAATGCTCGTCCTACACTGCCTATTGATTTAGAATAGCTCCCTGAAGTTAAAGAAGATCCCCATGAGTGTTCCATAAAACACGAAGTGATTGAGTTGAAACCTTTCCCGTTCACATGGGCACGGGCAGTGCCATAAAGGACCAGCTGCAGATCTGGGGTGTGCCACCGTAGCCACGCTTTCTCTTCCACCCTTCACGGAAAACACTTGCTGAAGATGTGCCAGCAGTCCAGACACAATCTGACCAGCAGCAAACTCACACAGCTTGCCAGCTTGCGGCCACGCTTTCTCTTCCACCCTTCATGGAAAACGCTTGCTGAAGATGTGCCAGCAGTCCAGACGCAATCTGAGCAGCAGCAAACTCACACAGCTTGCCAGCTTGCAACCAGAGCAGACTCTCAGACCATCATCTTCATTTCAGCTGGCCAAATAAATCAGAACTGGACACCGGGGGGTAAATTTCCAGCATTGTGTGTAATGGGTTTAAAGTCAGAATGTCCACAACCGTTAAGCACAGTTGAATGTCTAACCCACCGAGTGTCACTGCTGGAAGTTTACTCCTATAATAAACACCATCAGCCTAATCCTGCAGCCTTTTCCTCAGCAAAATCCCCGCTGGTTTTAGCAGGAGCTGTGCCCAGGGGAGTGTCACCGCACTGTGCATGTTACAGGCAGGAGAAGGTAACTCAACTGAACCTTAAGCAGCCCGTGTCCATTCATCCATCACCTCGCACACCTCTTCCTGCCACAAATGGCACCTTTGCCTTTGTCACTGAAACAAACACACAGATTTCTCTTGCGCCAGATCCTCATCACCTCTTCTGTCATAGCCAGAAAAAATGTCCACATAGCCAAGAGGAAAGTCAGTCTCCTTCTTAGGAGATCATTATCTGAGTGTGTCCTATTATCCTTTGGTTTATGCCCTCATAAACTGTTAGATAATTCTCATCCACCGCTGTCTGTTTGGGCTCTTTAAGGCTCTTCGATAGCTGAGCAAGTGGAGTGCTTTAGCTTGAACTGCCACCGTGTTCAGCACTACAGTTACTGCTGCCAGAAATGCTTTTTCACTGCATTATAAATTTGAGCTGGTGTCACGCCTTGCTCTCCAGTAGTATTTTTCAACCTAGCCTGAAATCCACCAATATAGCAGTGTTCCTGGAAGTTCTTCATCTTGCAAACTGTCCAAATGATGGTCATTGTACAGTTGGTTTTTCAGCGGGGACTGATAGAACAGAGCTCAAAACCCCTGCCCCACTCCCCCTCTTTTTGTCCCATCCATGTTTGTCCTGGTAGACAGAACAGAGTTGCAGTAGGAGCATAAGTGGGTTTTTTTTTTGCCTAATTCAGCTCTACTAAATGCTGAGTCTGTACAGAGACTGAATAATCATCCAAAGTCACACAATCACAGCACAGTTTGGGTTGGAGGGGACCTTTAAAGATCATCTAGTCCAATCATTGCCCAGGGACCTGCCTCCCTCCTTGGCCCCATTTTATTTAGCACTGTAGACAGAAAATCACACACACACACAAACTGTTACAGATTTGCAGATCAGAATGTATGATACGATTTCCTGGGATTGTGTAGAATTGATTAATGCTCCAGGCAAAGCTGCTGACTTTTAAACTCTATAGATCAGGATAAAATGCAGCCTACTCATAGCACTGTTGGATGTTTTAATGAAGGCTAAGACAGACTGTAAAGCTAATTTTTAATAGGAGAGTGTAGATTCTGAGAAATACTCTAAAAATGTGTTGTGTTCTGAAATCAGAGGCCCCGTGCCTGTATCTGGCCTGTGCCGATGCTGTGAGCGTACCTTTTATTGGAGGTGACGGGTATCCTCCAGCCTTTGATCTGGCTGAGCTCCGTATCAGAGATCTCGATCTGCAGCGGGAGCCGGGGAACCCAGACCGTCACTTCCAGCTGGGTGGTAAAATGCTGGTAAGTGAAGTTAACAATGGTATCCACTTTGCTTTTCATCTCCTTGCCGTTAACGAAGATGGAGTCACATCTGTCAGAAACCTTAATAAAAAAAAAGAAAAAAAGAAAAAAAAGATTAATTAGGAAATGAATAAAAGTTCCTGAGGAAGCAGGGGGAATGATGCATCAGTCCGCAGACAACACTGATGTGAGTCATGCACATTGTATTTTCCATTTTCTAATTAGCAGCAAACAGTGATAAATGGACCCCAGGGAAACAGTTCTGCTTTCCTCAATGGATACTACTCAAGCTACAAAAATAATTTAATGATGTTGCATAACCTATCTGAATCTTTTACACGAGGCAAATTAAGCTCTTCATGAATCAAACTCCATGTGCATCAAAGTTTATGTTTACAACTTGCTTAAAGAACCTGGAAGAAATGGGGCCATATGTTAGTAAGAAAAAGACTGACTCAGAACCATAAACCAGAATCCTTGCCTTTTTCCTTGAGCACTGTAATGCTGAAAGACAAAGATCCCCTTATGGCTCGTGAGCAGAAGTGCAGCAGAAGCATTAATTTTTAGGACTCAGTAATTGTTTTAGCAAAATGTACTCATGGTTGCTCTACGAATTTACTGCCAAAACCAGGCCTGTGGGCTCTGTACCACAACTGAGCTGCCCTCTTGGTCTCGAGGATCCTTTGGTAAAAAAAAATCAAGGTCCTGAGCCCAGATCCTATTTATATAAAGAATGTGATGTAGCAATGCATTTTTCCCTGCATCCCGGAAAGATGGAAATCCTTCTTTGTGAGGTATAGGGTTTTAATATAATTATGAATGTGTGTGTATACTTTTAGATTTATATATATATATATGTATATATATATATATACACACATATATGTATTGTCTTTCTGCTTATCATCTCATTCTCAATTTGGCTTGATTTCCAGTTTCCACCCTCACACACACCCACATACACACACATTTAGACTAATGTATAACATTTATATATATGTATATACATATATATATATGCATATGTACATGTATTTGTATCTATATACAGGTTTGCATTCTGCTTTGAAGCCGTAGAGAGGTGACCGTCTCCAACAGAGCCCGTGCACTGGGTTTTAAAAGATTAAAACCCCAGCTTAGGAGATGTAGGTGTGTTACTGAAATGGACTTTGTTCTCCTGTCAGGACTGCTCTGTGTCATGCTGTGTAATGCACCGGGACTCGGAGCTGCAGGGATTCTGGCAAAGCCAGTGATTAAATTCTGGTTTACTGGAGTTACTGAGATAACTCTCATAGACTTCAGTGGGGAATATGCTGAAACACAGGTTGGTTTTGCTCTGCAAACGCACCTCAAATGTTTTCTCATCTTAACAGGAATTCGGAGTTACTGAGCCAAGAAACATTACAGAAAATGTGTAGCAGCCTTTTTTTCCAAAAGGCAGTCCTCACACATGATTGTGACATTAAGTTTGTCCCACTTTAAATTTTAGAATTTGATCTCTTGAGCTCTAACGTGGTACAGTGCTGTCAGATGGACAGTACCTGAGTTCAGCTGCCATATGGAGCATGTTTAAATCACAGAATTTTGCCTGCGTGGCTCTCAGAATGCTTCTAAGATTTATAGGCAACTTGCCTAAGAGCCAGTTACTTCAAAAGCACAATACAAGCACCTTTAGGCACGTCATTCAGTGACAGGTTTTACTTCCAGAATTACTGTGACGACATTGAAAAGTGTGGCAGTCTCAAGCCAAGCATGAGTGAGGAAACATCTGGGGAACATTGTACCAGCAGCTCTGTTGGTCCGCATCCACTGGACATCGACCAGATCAAGCGGCTGGTTCACACTTAGTGAGACCACTTTCCAGCAGTCCCTTTTAACATCGCTGTACAATAACGTCACTCTCCTGCGCTGCCCATCGTCAGCTAATGGCTTTGCTAAAAATATTGTCAAGTGCCTTGAGATTCTCAACAGAAAAGCCCACTCTCCGATGTTTTCCTCTCCATATGCAATACTCGTGTATAAAGCAAAGGAGCTGCATTTCCACATTTGCCCTTTTCAAATAATCTTCTTAGATCCTAATCAATGGACTGAAACTACAAGCAGTTGCTTTTTTACGAAGGGACTAAGCCAGGGTGTAAGGGATGGGGCAAAGTCGCTCTTCTGGAGTGAATACTCCTTCCACATAAATGCTTAATGAGCACAAGAATGTAAAAAAAATTAAATCTAGATTTCTGATAAAGAGCTTAAAATGGACTCCAGGCTCAGGAGTACCACAAATGAGATGGAGCATGCTCAGAATCTTTGTTTCCCCCCTCGTAATGTGTCACAAGTGGCTCTGAAAAGTTTAAGCGCATTAATCAAGCCCATTAATTGAATGAGCAGTTGAGATTCTAAATCATAAAGCCTACATCTAGGGAGTTTTGTGGGAATTAATACAAGACAGAAATAATTAAGAAAACTCAAAGAGGGAGGGATAAACATCAAGCCCGGATCAAGGGGATAACTAATATCTGACATGACAGCAGCTAATATTTTAGATTCTCTTCTTGCTGCTTAAAATTTTCTTGTCTTCTTGTCAGCAGGCAAGAAAGGTGCTAAATTAGGGAGCTGAAAGATGGGCTTTAATTGTAGCTGTAAAAATATCAGGCTAGGCTTACAAATTTCATAGATTATATGTCTAGACAGAGCCATTCAGCCATTTATATACTGGCCAAGAGGTAAGTATAAATCAGTACATATAACTATGCTACAGAAGCTCACAGTGGCCTTGTGAGTAGCTCAGTACCTTCCAGAAAATAATCCCACCTTGATAAGAGAACTTGAAGTGAGATGTTGCTGTTTCAGTTCTCTTGCAGGAATTTGGGCTTGCTCTGTTAGGTACAAGCAAACCAAAGAACTTTCTCCCCTTTTAGGTCTGCTCCATACTCCTTTAGTCGCACTGACTGCCAGAAGTGGCTGGCGATGCTGCCGGGAAGGGACCTGCTGCTGGAGGTTGGGGAGTGAACGCCTGTTTACAGCAGAAAGCACTCAGGCTTGCCGTGGGGCAAGCTCTGCCGCAGGGAGACACGGGCAGAGCTACATTAGCAGGTGAGTTATCGCACTGATTTCTTTTGAGCTGCTGGCTCTGAGGGAACAAAGAGGGAAAATCGCAGTTAAATCTCCTGCAAACACTACGCAGTGAGGAGACGCAGCAAAAACTTAGCACTGCCATCCTCTCATCTAAAATGCTTAGAGCAAGGCAGTTTGAAACAGTCTGTGGCTGGCCATTGACACAAGCAGATCGTGCTTTTTGAGACAGTTCACAACCAGGAGGGCAGGACGGCCGGCAATGTGCTCCAGTGTGCAGGTCAGGAGGAAGAGAGCTGCAATTAACCTCTGCAGGCTGTGAAGCAGGTGGTTGGCTTCAGTCCTCACAAGTAATTGTAAAAAAGGACAATTTGCCCTGTACAGCCTGTACAGCCTCCTCGTTTTAGACTAATCCAGTACAAAATTAGCTAGCAAGCCAAAAGAGTAATTGGGAAACCATTTAATGGTCAGGTCAGCAAAGGTTTACACACCCTTTGGGTGCACAGGTAAAATGTGAACGGACAAGAAAACAAATAACTCCTGCTGCGTGGCTCAGCTTTACACGCAGGTTTGGTTCCAAATTTCATACCCATACTCAGCTTGCAGGTCCTTTTGCAAGGAGACTGAGACAGATGTAACAGAAAAGAGCTGCAATCCTTGTGCCCGGTAACCACTCAGGAGTTTTTCGGTTAAACAAGACTTTGCTGCTGAATGCCTGCTTTGCACAACCATTTATTCCCCACCGCTCTCTTGCATGGGAGGAGAGAGCAAGATGGCTTGAGAGGTCCACCACACCGGCATCCCCTCTCAGCAGCACCTCAGGGCTTCCCCAGCCCACACCACTACTTCAAGTTCATCTGTTTTCACCTTCAGACATCTACTTCTCACTGATACCTACAGGAATGGGGTGTGCACACAGCTGCATATGAATATGTATAATGAATTGTAAAGGTAAAGTTACTACCCAGAGGAATTAATTCTGTTTAATTCGGTGTAAAGCAACAGTGGCTCAGTGGATGTAAGAGCGATACCAGGTACAATGCCAAACTGTCCTAAGGCACTGTTCATCTGTGAATTTTTGACACACAAAACCCAAAAGGATGGTGTTATTTTTAGAGTCCATTTATAGAAGAGGAAACTGAGGCATGTATCAGAATTGGGTCTAACACACAGTCTCTGCAGCTGAGAGCTACAGCCATTTGGTTAGCCTAAATGGTTTAAAGTTGAAGTTCAAATTCACCCTTGAAAAGAGGTCCTTTTTATACCTGCTTTCAAAACAGCCTTCACCAGTACAGGACTTCAGCAGAACTGGCCTTTAGAAATTGGGGTTTGGGGGTTTATTTTTGCCTGGAGTCAAAGTCTACTGGCAAATATTTCAGTGTAATGGGACAGATGTGCAGACTTTGGTTTTGTAACCCTGATTTTTCACCAGCAGAACCCAACCTTATTCCAATCCCTGCTTGAGACAACGTGATTTCAATGTCCAGCACACGAGGCAGAGCCCTGAGCGCAATGTGGCTGCAGCCACCTCCATCCCCTGCAAACATCGTGATTTCAATGTCCAGCACATGAGGCAGAGCCCCTGAACGTCGTCTGGCTGCAGCCACCTCAGTCCCTTGCAAACAGCCCCAGCCACCCGTGTCCCGTGGAAGAAGAGGCAGCAATGAGGGACCGGCAAATTGCGGACACTGATCAGAGGTCGAGGAGCAGGTACAGTGCTGCTTCATAGTGAATGTGTAAGGGATGCAAAGGCTGGGGCTATAAAGGGAACAATTGTAACAAGATTTTCAAGTGAATGGTGCCTAGAGGAAATGGCTCATTCTCATAATAATTTTAAAACTGTAATTTTTGTGGTATTTCCTCATTGCCTTCTTTTCTGCGTCTTCTGTGGCATTGTTCCTGGCAATGTCTTGTTAGCCCATTAGGAAGGACTTGCTGAGCTACTTCAAACCCTTACGTTGTGTATTTTTCTTCTGCCTCTTGCATCTTTTTATACGCCCATAGCATGGCTGTAT